TAATGAGGACATTACGATGAAGCCCTTCCTTGTCTTTTACAACGAAAGCCTTTCTTCGTAAATTTACGTTTAATTTACGACAAATAGTCTATTACGACTAGCGTTTAATAACGAGATGTGTCTCTTTGTTGGAGGGGGTAATTGGGTGTTATATTTATATAGAGTTTGTTGATTTTAAAAGTTGATGGATTTGTTAAATTTGGAAAGTGTTGTAGAGAATTTTGTATATTGTGAAAATAAATTGATATAGTGATTCTAACAATCTATAATATATATAGGTAGTATTCTCAAAATTTTGTGTTATGAGTTAAATGGGGAAGAGTACAAATTCCAACAACACCAACTTTAGTAGATTTAAAAAATCATTAAAATTTAAATTTTTGAATAACAAGGGATTGTGTATAAAATTACTAAATCATCAAACCAATAACACTAAATTTTAATAAGAATCTGAAAATCTATAAACCAATAACATTATATTCTGAAGTTTTGAGAATCATTATAAATTTCAGTCCCACTAACATCTTTCTTAATTAATCGTAATTCTCCTATTACGACGAATTAACAAGAAAAATAAATCTCATAAAAAATGTTTTATTGTATTGATCGTCACCTAACTAAACTTATAAGAAATACAGTTTCCAACAGTGCTCTATTTTTTTCATCACTAGCTAACCCTCGAATTCGAAATTTTCACAACTCTAAGTGACAGTATTTTTCCAAAGTGAAGTTTGTGAAAACTTTACGTAAAGGAAATACAACCTGGTGTGCTTACATATCCCTTATATATTAATACTCGAGCATTACAACATATTTTGTTAGCCACATGTCATCATTTCGTTGATTGTTAGAATCCTTAAGAAAATAAGTTGGTCCATCTCAATATATATGTCATCATTTCGTTGATTGTTAGAATCCTTAAGAAAATAAGTTGGTCCAAATCAATATATATTATATTTTTTATTAAATTAACTATGCAATTAATTGGTAGTGTAAAAAAATAAGATTTTCTATTTTTTGTAAAATAAAAACTATGGAATTGTCTAATATGGTTAACAAATATATGACAATTAATAATTTTGAATAATAAAGATTTGATAACAATTTTCTATCTTCCATCATTTTTTAAAAAGTTTTATATTCTTAAAATAAAGTAAACAATTATATTAATAATATAATAAAAATTTTGATATTTTCTTATATACTATATTTTGAATTTTTTTAAACGATTATAAACTACTAAAATTATTAAAAGTCAACATTGAAATTGTTCTGATCAATGATTTAACTTTTTGTTATAGCAAAATATAAATGATCATAAAATCATATAAATATGAAATCTCATTATATATAGTCAGAGTAGATATATAATACATAAATATGTTAATTTCAAAATTTGCTTTGAATAAGAAACATTGGTTAATAAATATTTATATAAATAAAAATTATATTTGTTACAGTAAATATAAAAATGTTAATTAAATCATATGAGTATGAACTCAATTAGTAAATATTCATATTAAAATATATTATATAATTTTGTTAATATCATTTAATTTTAATTATATACCATATAAAATAAATATTTAATTATTTTGATTTTTTACCAACAAATCAATATTTTAAATACAAAGAGGGATGGTTTTTATTTGTATGTTTACTCTAGTTTAACTATATACGTAATAGTTACTCGCTTCTCAATTATTCAATATATTTATTATTGCATAATACTTAAATGAACATAAAATAAATAATAATATATATAAATGATTTGTATACATAATTAATGTTCATTTTGCACAAGCTTGGCTCTCAAAAGTTATTTATTATTTCAAAATTCAATCTTTCATATCCAAGTGAAATGGTGAATTTAAACATTCAGATGATATTATTGAAGCTCAATGTAAAATAGGTTTAAAAACAAAAATATCAACAAATATTACCTTACTCATCAACTTTTTATTGACGATCAAAGTTATGACATGATAGGTGAACGATCAAAATTAAGATTTAATGATTATTAATATATAAGTTTCACTCCGTGCATATGTGCGGATTATCACCTAGTCGTGAGTATAGTGCTTATAATTCTCTTGAACAGATTATTAAATAAATATAGTTGGAAATATAGTGTAAGTATTATCTTTTTTTTGGTCGAAAGTGTATGTATCATCTCAAACTAGAAACATTATATAAAAATGACAATTTTTTAAAATAGCCATTTGTAAAATTTTGTCACAAAAATAGTCATTTAAAAATAAAATGACCAAAATAGTCTTTTTATTTTAAAATTTGTAATATTTATTTTTTAAAAATTTGAAACTATATCCATAAAACACCATCCATTAACTCTAAACTCTGAATATAGATTAGTTAACTCTAGGGTATCAATGCATATTTAATTATTTACCCTTTAAATAAAATTTATTTTGGTTATTTTCCTCCTTAAGTGCTATTTTTATGAAAATAAACTAAAAAATACTATCTAAAGAATTTTCTCTATAAAAATCATGATAAAAATAGTTTGGTGACAAACTTAAAATAGAGAAATTTGTTCCAATATACATAAAAACTCCAAATTCACTATCTAACCAAAAGTTTTCCATTTCTCCTTGTTTCTCTTCTTATATCTCTCTAACTTCTCATTAATTTTTTTTTATCAATTCATTAAAAATCTAATTAACATTTTTGGTTATTTGAAAAATAAGCCTTTTAAAAAAGAACAATGAAATCAAACTGAAAAAAAAGTCAAAGAGCTCCATGTGAAATCTCTAAAGCATCTTTTGGGAGGGTAATGACGATTGTTCATTTGCTTGATACCAGGCAAGACATTCACTTTCTGCATACTTTTTGACTTTTTTTCAGTTTGATGAACACCGACCTGATTTTTGATGAACACCGACCTGATTTTTGATATCCATTCTGTCAAACTCGTGAACACAACCTACTCCATTATCAAGCATTAAAGCACCAGCCTGTAAAGAGTAATATGGCATTATTAGTCATAGTCAAAACATAGAAATAACATTATTTAAAGAGGCCAGCCCTGTTCATTGCAAACAATAGAGTCTAGGTTACTTGTAAGATTTATTGCGAGGTACTATTCATCAATTCAAAAATAAGAATGCACTCACCAGTTTCAGGTTCTTTAGCTACAGTGGCTGCAACTCAGCTGCAGAGAGGACTTCCTAGATGTATACACAGATCTTGCCACTATGCATGTGGTGTACATGCATTAACAAAGCGACACTGAGGGGCAGACATGTTATAGAAATTATAAAACAGTAATTAATATCCAATGATAACCAATACCTCAGGAATATAATTTAGCACAACTAGTATCCCCGACTATACAAACATTGATATCTCTTCTAAGTTCTTTATTGGGATTGATTGAGCTTCCTATAAATATTATAGACAAAACTTAAAACAACAACAATATTTTTTCAGAGATAAGACAATGAAGTACTATCAACTTAATTGGACTTGTAATTTTGTTTTAAAAAGCCCTGTCGAAAACTATAAAAAGCCCAGTCTAAGGTAAAGCTGAAAACGCATGAGCAGTTTATGTATGGGTATGCTGATGTGGCATTTTTTGCCCCTATCTCCCTGCTGAGGTGGCAGCATGAGAAGGGAGAAAACTTAGATTTATTATATAAGATTAGCCTTTTTAGTCGTTGCCAAAAGAAAAAAAACGTAGATGTTTGAAAGAATATATTTTCCGAAATTGGTGGTTGCTTTGTTTCCTTTTCTGAATGCTATCTTGTTTTTTCAAAAAAAAAAATTTAAGACATTTGATTGCAAACTGAATGCTAGAGTTTAGAGTAGAACCTATATAAATTAATACTCGATAAATTAATATACACCAAAATATCTCTATAAAATAATATAATTTTATAATCTCAAATTGTTTTTTTATTCGAAGTATATCAATAAATTAATATTTCTCTAAATTAATAAATAAAATAAAATTTTGATGTAATCCCAACATTATTTATTTTTATTCTTAGAAGTTTCATTGTATACTGTTATTGGGTTTCTTCTTCTCGTTGTTTTAGATTGATATAATCAAAAGCCATCTTTTTTGAAAACCCAGAATTTTATAAATCGGTACACTCCATCCATGGAGAAATGGTTCACAGTAGATGACCACAAAGCAAACTAGCTAAACAAACCGCTATAACAAATTGGAGCATAACACATAATTAAAGGATATAAGCAATTATGAATGATCACACCTACGCAACTAAATTCATGGAGGAGTCCTCTATCTAAGGTAATTTGCTGAAATGAGTTTGTTACATTGTGAGTGCATGTGCATGATATATATATATATTACAATAGATCTAGGATATTCAAGATATGATACTACACAAATTACTTTCTATATCTATACGTCCCCTCAAGATGGAGGCTGTTTTCTAACTCCAATCTTGTAGAATAGGTCTTGGAACCGTGTGCGGGAGAGGCTTCGTCAATGCATCTACTAGCTGATCCTTGGCGGAGACATGAGAGACTTGAAGAGTGCCGGATTGCACATTGTCTCAAATGAAGTAGTAGTCCAACACAATATGTTTCATTTTTGTGTGGAAGACCGGATTCGCACATAGATACATCGGGCTCACATTATCACTGTAAATCACCGTGGTGAAGATAAATAGATACGTCCGCCACTTTCATCTCGCAAGGCTTGGTTACAGTGGTTGGGATGAAAGGTGTGGTTTGTATGGTTAATGAGGTATTTGGATTTGAGTTTCACTATGTTATTTTTGGAACAAGTTTTCATTGAGTGGTGGTTTAACGGAGCAGAGGTTTGAGGTTGAGGTTCTGAATTTTGTGGCTCAGGTGCAGTGGCGGAGCTAGGACCAGGTGGTGGTAGGGTGTTTGGGTTCGTAATTTGTGTTGAAGTGATAGGTTGATGGGTTTCTGTGGGTTCTATTTCTGTAACCAGGTTTAGAGATAATGTACCTAAGAATATTTGGAAATCAATATGAGTTATATAATCTCTAGTCTTCTCGATATGATTTGAAACAGAAGTATTAAATTAGATTCATAGTAGTGAAGCTCATATATGGGAGACAGAGACACACAACCACCAAAGTGGTTTTTATTCAAAATATTATGTTTAATTACTGTATACAGTTCTCCCTTGGAAGCATCACATTTATGAAAGCATTTTAGTCGCTGTCGCTACCGCTGCTGTTTCCACTCTCATTTCCACTGGCATGCCCATCCTTATTCTTCTTCTTCTTGAGCTCATTTTGCTTCTTATGCTTCTTCTCTCCATTGTTTATGAACATTCCTAGGCCATTGATACCTTTGTTTGTCTCATGAGTTTTCTTCTGGTGCTGGCCTCCGAGCTTCCCATGTCCATGGCCCTTGTTAGCCTCTTGGCTCTTGTGTTGCCCTATAAACGATCCCAAGCCGTTGTGACCTTTTTGAGCATTTTTACTCTTGAACAGCCCATCAAGAAACCCACCGTGGCTACGGTGGTTCAGAGTCGGGCTATGGCCATATACGGGACGACTCTGGCTTTGGCCATATCCCTGGTGGTTCTGTCCATAGCTCTGGCCTTGACCCACATCGTAGTATTCTTTCTCACGGGTTTCGTAGTACTGCATTTGTGTAGAATAGATTATAGAACCGGTGAGTTTTCTGATTTATATTTGTGTTGAGTGTGGGTTTTAGAGTGGGCTGTCGATCGATATCTATATATACAATGAGAATTTCTTACGCCTTACTTGAATTCGAACATACTCCATTTGTTAGTGCATGTCTTTATTCTGAACTTATTCTTATTATTAGTTACTGCTATCTATCATTGAATCTATTCCAATCGCATTTTCTCTTTGCATAATTTGGATGTCTATTTCAGAATTGGTTCTCAGCTATAGTTGTCCAAGATTCGTATTAATTCATTGATTGATGTTTATCTCATTGCTATAAAGTACTTGTAAAACTGTGAAAATTTGTCCATTTAGAAGAAAAAAAGATATTTTAGAGTATTAATTATGCTAAATTTTGTTTTGGCAAATAAAATTTGCTTGTATTTTTATTTTCTTTAATTAACTAACAGAAGTAGATAAAGAGATATGAAGATTATAATTCCATAGTTGCTTTGCGAAGATTATATGTATATTATTAGTTACTGTTATCTATAATTTGAATCTATTCCAATTGCGTTTTCTTTTTGCATAATTTGGATGTCTATTTCAGAATTGGTTCTCAGGTATAGTTGTCAAAGATTCGTATTCATTGATTCATGTTTATCTCATTGCTATCAACTACTTGTAAAACTGTGAAATTTGTCCATTTAGAAAAAAAAAAATGGATATTTTAGAGTATTAGTTATGCTAAATTTTGTTTTAGCAAATAAACATTTGGTTTTATTTTTTTCTTTAACGTAACTAACAGAAGTAGGTAAAGAGATATGTAAGATTATAATTCCATAGTTGCTTTGCAAAGAAACCGCATGAAATTAATATCAGTGAGATAATCTCATCATCGATATTTTTCTGAGGCATCCATCCTTGGATTCTTATTTATTACATTCATACTTCATTCTTACTACTTAATTTATATGGGGCTTTAACTAAGGGGTTTATCTTCATCTCTCTTTTTTACGTAGCCAAACCCACCCGCCCATCTAAATAAAAAGAAATGGGAAACGAATAAGATAAATAGAAATATTTCAAATTAGTTTTCAAGAATCTTGACCTTAAGTTTGAAGTTCGAACCCTTACATATATGTATATGTTTAGTGACGCGGGTAATTTTCGCTGCTGTAGCGATTGCCACGGCCTGTTTTCATGGCGCTCAAGGTAGGTCCACGACGGCGTCCGGTATTAAATCCCAACGATTCTCCCGAGACGTTGCGGTTAAGCAGTTGACGGTTACCTCGACTCGACATGGTGGTTCCTTCGTTGTCCGATTCAGACTCAGAGTCATACTTCTCGTGGGGTTTTGGCCTCATGTCTTTTAACTTCATTTCCTCAGACGACATCGCTTTCACCCGCAAAGTGTTGTTTTCTTCTTTTAATCGTGTATCTGGCTTGGTGAATTCGAGAGCCAAGGTTCCATATTTATAGATGAATTTGTATGCATGTGTGTTGGTATGTATTGTATGTATATGCCCATTGTTATTGGATTCCTCAAGCTTTTGTTACATCAAACTATGAATTAGATTCATTTCAAGTGGATATAAGTTTTCTGACCTTCACTGATAATAAAGCACTCGCAAGAAAACGAAATAAGTGAAACAGCTTGCTTCAACAGCATATGTAAATTAGATAGTGGGATGTAGGATAATTGGAAATGATGTTGGTTCTCATGCTAGAAAGTATCATATACGTACTATTCAAATTTCAAAATTAACGTATATAGCCACATAAAAGATGATTCAAGGCAATTGACGTTTTCTCCATTTCTTTTTCATGAATATAGGTCTATTTTGCTTATGGATCAAAGCTCATATATCAAAGTACTTTTTTTGACTAATGGTGTTTATGTTCATTAATTAGAAGGTACCTGTATCTTTGTAATTATATAGAAGTATGTATAATTAGTGACTCCGTAATCATCTAACTAATGACTAAGCAAAAATCTAACATCAATCTTAACTAGTCTAATAATTTATGAGGTTGATGCAATTATTTGTTCCTCTTCGACGAGTCTCTTTTGAGTTATTCTGTTCTCCAACATATTTCGCACTAGATTAATAAATGCTTTATGTTTTAAGATTCCGAGTTTTTTTCATCTAGTCAAAAGTTTGAACAAGATTCCAATTCTTTTTCTTTTGTTGCAACATATTCATATCACAGTGCGATATGTACCCATGTAATATTTGTACTTCAGCAAAGCAAGAAAGAAAATTCAAATCGCACAGGTAAGAGCATCTAACTAGCGTTGGTGTCACGCATGTGTTTATGGACTATAAGGGCATTTCCAACTCCACTCTATTTTTCACAAGTATTCCAATGGTACTCTATATTTCACTCTATTATAGAATGGAAAATAGGTTTACTCCAAATATAGAGTAACTTGTTTTTTTTTTGTTCATCACTCTATTTTTCACTCTAAAATAGAGTACCATTGGATTAAACTGGCCGGCGTCGGAGGGCTCACTTAGCCTCGGAAGAGAGGAGAGAGAAGAGAGGAGAGAGAAGAGAGGAGAGAGAAGAGAGAGAAAGTAGATCTGGCCGGCGTCGGAGGGCTCACTTAGCCTCGATGTCGGTCGGGTGTTTGAGGTTGTGTGTTTGTCTCACTATGGTGGTCGATGTGGTGTATTTCCGGGAGATGGAGGCGTTCAGATCCATCGCCGCCGGCTCTAGCTTCCGGGAAGGGAGTCTCCTTCAGATTCATCTTCGCCGGCTTTTGGTCACGGAGAGTGGAGGCTAACAAAGCTCCGCACTGCCGTCTTGTTTCCGGGAGGCGGAGGTTCCTATAACTCTGTCGCCGTTGGTTTGTTTTGTCTCCGGGAGGTGGAGGCTTTCTCAGCTCCGTCGTCGGTCTTGTCTCCGGGGGGTGATGGCTTGCTCAGCCTTGCGTCGCCGGCTCTAGAAGGTTCAGTTCTTTGGATAAGGTGGGAGTCCTTTTGTGGCTCGTGTGTGGCTTTCTTTTCTCGTGATGTGAGTTCAAGAGGTTGTTTGGCTTTGTTCTTCGGATGAGATCTCGTTTGTATCGATGAAGCTCTCTGGGAGAAGATAAAGCGTTGAAGAAAGTGTGGTTTCGACGGAGGATCTACGGTTCTCTGAGCTCCGATGAAACGTGGTCTACGGTGGGTTAGCTTCGGCGACGTTTTCGGTTGGTGTCGGTCGAGTTGAGATGGAAGAGACGCGTGTCGCCCTGACGACCCTGATCTTTACACGTGCTAGTCTCCTCGACGCGTGGAGGATCGTCCATTTCCTTTTGGTTTGGGCCTCAGGCCCCATAATCTAGTTTATTTCGGCCCATAGACTTGTATGGCCTTCTAAAATTTGGATTTTATGGTCTGGGTTTTCGGATGTGTAATGGGCTTGGTCCAGTTATCTATTATATAAAGATGTGTTTCTTTCCCTCTCAAGCCTCCACGTCGGATCCAGGTCAGAAAGTCCACGTCAGCTTATTGTTGGACTTTATTTCAATTTTCCAGGCCCAGTTACGTTTTCGAAGAGCTTTTCGTTCACCAATCCGCCATCGTCTCCCAAGGCTACATGAGTCTAGCCAACGACGATTTGGTCGAGTTCGGAAAGAAAGTAGTGATGAGACTATTGAATCAGCGTGGCTCTGGTTGACGCCATGACAAGTTAGGACGGAGCTAGGGTTTCGGGTGGTGGTGGTCGGAGAGAATCCATCTTCGACATCCATACGACGCTGAGGAGACGAGAGCCACCGAGTGGAGAGAAGTCGGGGAGAAGATTCCAGAGAGACGTATCTGCTATATTGTTGCAGTGATGCCGCCTTTGAAAACATATTTCCTCTGATAGAAGCTATGTGTCCATTGAAGCTCCTTTGCCACTGATTCATTATCACCATCATCATCATCATACAGGTTCTAACCATGTAACGCCTCTCACCGTCGTTGACCTGATTTCAGATTTAACAATACTTAATATGTTTATGTAACCAAGATCTTTATGCTTTTTGTTAGAAACCATAAGAGTTTTTATAAATCAGGCTACTATTTTTTGTTTGCATATGGTATACAGACTTAAACTATGATTTCAAGTGAAGAGGTTGGTCTTCTAAATATGAAATTTTCCAGGTAGAATTTACTTACAGGCTATCATATCATATATGGAGATGATGTTTGTTTTGATGTTTGGGTTTATATGAGTTGATGTGTGTGTTTTCAGGCACAATGAGTGTTTGGGAGTAGATGGACTGAGATAACAAAGGTGGGTTCATGCAGGTAGAATAACAGACTTAATGGTGCTTGAAGTCATGATTGTAAGATAAGAGTGATTCACTAATGTTTTGTATTTGTAGTAAGGATAGTGCTGTCAAGAACATGTTTAGGCCACTTTGTTGTAAGAAGAGAACCAAGTATGAACCGATGGACTACAAGAACAGCTCAAACAAGAAAATAATATTGTTCTTTAGACGGTTGTACTACTCCACTAAATACGAATATGAAAATTATATTTCCAAGAGAACAAGGAACTTGCCCCATATAAGGTATGCTTCTTTTCCCTTTGTATGTTCCAGAGTTGTGATCAATTATTTATCTGGCTTGAAGTTCATAGATAAAGGCTACCATATATTACACCGTTAGATTCCACAGTGAGTTATTTAGGAACACACAAGTTGAAATCTTTCCGCACATTCTTCGAAAAGGCTTTTATACTAAGAATCTGACGAATTAAAGTTAGAGACATTTTCTCTGCAAGCCATTTCCAAACCAGTGCTATGTTGCTTGCGTTAAGTGCTGCAGGAAGTTGCAACGTACTGTCTCTGCTTTTACATGTGCTTGCTGTGCTAATACACATGTTGTTGGGGCTCTTCGGTAAGTAGGTATCAACGATAAACTCTATAATTTCCTCTACATATGCAACTGCATCTGAATAAAAATTTTTGATATATAGCCAAAGAAAAAATTAGCGTTAGTTTATATGTACATGTAAATGCCAATCTCTTATGCTGCACCTGCATTTGAAATAGTCACAACATATCCATATATGCACATTCGTGATCGACACCTATTCTTATAAGCATGCCTATATTTCGTACATGCTCATAAATATGGTTTGTGGCATCACACTGGAACATATAATAGATTTGTAACTGTAAATATATTTTTATTACTCTTTACTGGCACACATTACCATTTCAAAGTTATGTACGTCAGATAATGATTATGATTAAATCGGTTTGAC